GTCCAGAGTTCCTCCTAGCCTCTGGGCACTACTCTTTAATGAAAACCAGTCCATTGCACGGGCACGGGCACGATCTTCTCAGTTATTACCTTGATAATCTCCACATCAGGGGCGGATCCAAGAATTTTTCAAAGAGGGGAGTTGTACACTATTTTAGTAACCTTTAACGCCATTGGTGTGGAAGGCTAGTGACGGCCCCATGCCTCTGGCGCGAGCTCTTAAGGGGCCCGGAGCCATGCTCCTTCCCCCCCCCCCCCCCCCCCGCAAAAAAAAAATCCGATTTTTCCCTCTAAAGCGCCATGTACAGAATTCCTGAGACTTGAAAAGCGTTGTGAAGGTATGATATGAAATTGGAGTTTATCTTATTTTTCAGCAAGAAACCCAAAAATAAAAGTGCATGATTGAAAGGGAGCAGTATCAAAAATAGTTATTTGTGATTTCTCTACATACCTCGTTAATCAAACAACGTAGCCTGAAAAAGTCTTTTAGGATGAGCTTTTACAAAGGCCTCGCATATCTCGTCTACCTCGAATCTCTCAGAGATCTGAAAAGCGCTCTTTACACATCGTTGATCTGGTGCACGTCTTGATCTGTTTCACGAGCGAAAAGGACCGCTCAGCTTCCGCGCTATTGATCGGTAGGGTGCATGTAATGAGAAGAAGACGATGGATATTTGGAAAAGCATCCTCATCACACGCGCCAAGTGCGAATAGAAGATTGCTTGGAAGTTCCTTCTCTGCTGACTGCCACATAATTTGCCATCTTCGCAGCTCATTCCCAAGGGATTTGGGAAATGGAAGGTCATTCTCCCAGAACAACATGCCTTCTGTTGCTTCAGATAGCTCCAAGGTGTTATTAACTATGATAGAGGGTACTAGATAAAGCAAGTGACGGGTGTGGCGATCTTCGTCAGAAAATTGGTCTTGCATTTGAATAGTCAGAGAATCAAGAAGGGGAATAGCCACAGATTTTTTGTAATGATCAATTGGGCTACAACTGGGAATGTTTGAGCGATTCCTCTGTATGCTTGTCTTTCTGGGACTAGCTTCAACAATTCCCAATTTCTCAGAAAGGTCTAATATTTGTTTGTACCAAACTTGAAAGTCGCTGTCAATGTTTTTTCTAACGGACTTGATGTTTCCAACTACTTCGTCAACCATCATGTAAGCTTCTAAAATATCTTGGTCCCGTTTCATCAGCTTTGATGCAAGAGCTTTGACTTCATTAAGAATATTCTTGCTCGCAATAAAAACCACTACGGTCTAGAATGACAGCAAAGAGGCTTTCAGTCCCTGGGCTTTTGTAATAGTATCTTTGTCCCAATTCCAGCTTCAGTAGACGATTTCAAGTTTGGGCACTCGTGGGGGGAAATAACAGCATCTAGAAAGGTGACTAGGGGCTCATACATTTCCAGGAAAAGATCTAAGCACGTGTGTCTTTCCACCCAGTGTGTCTTGCATAGACCTGGAAGCTTACTGTGGGAATTCTCGGGCAGGTATTCTTTCAGAGTCAACCCAAACAGCTGCTGTCGCTTTGGGCTGTTATTTAAAAATAAATATGCTTCGTTAATCAGACCTACCAAATTTCGCACTTCTGACAGTTTGCATGATGCTGCGATGGAGAGGTTCAGGCAGTGAGCATAGCAATGTGTGAAAAGAGCTTAAGGACTGATCTCTTTTATCTTGGCCTGCACTCCTTCCTTTCCACTTGACATAACGGAAGCTCCATCACATGCCTGACTACGGATGTTGTTAGGATCCAAAGAAATAGATGGATCAGAGAGAGATTCCAAAATCTTTCTTGAAATCATGGTGGCATTTGTTCGTTCCAAATGCATGAAATTAATCAGGCATTCTTTAGCATGAGGCTCGTTTGGCGAGGACTGGTCCACAAACCTCAAGCATAAAAATAAGATCTCCTGGTTTGAGTGTGGATCAGTACTCTCATCAGCTATGATTGTGAAAGGCAGGTCCTTAGTCCTTAGCTCTGCTGAAAGCCTTTCCTTAATTTTTGACGCATACACGTTCGCGAAATGTACATTACCTTTTCATAACTTGACAAGCAGTCGAATGGTGGAAGTGGAAAAACTCTGTAAAAAATTTATTTATAATCAGTAACCAGAAATAAAATCAAAATTGCGCCGATATCGCAAAAGCCTTCAGAGCTTTTTCTTGACCTTCAAAGACTACGTCATATCGCACCATGAGTGAGATGCTCTTGGCGGACAAAGCCATGCTTACAAGCTGCGTTCCTATAGTGGAGTGGTTATCACGTCCGCTTTATACACGAAGAATTGCAAGTTCGAATCCTACTAGAAACACGTGTCACAATTTGCAGGTTCGAATCCTGCTAGAAACACGTGTTACAATTTGATTAATGAAGAAACTATAATATCAGATTCATCCATTGCAAAAATTCCAGGACTTTCAATGATTTCGAGTTGGTTTTATGTTTCCATAAATCTCTCAGCCATTTTTGCTCTAAAAAGTCGAAACCTGCACGGTTGTAACAACTTCCTTTATTGTGCGACTATTTCTCAACAATTCCTAAGCGTCAAATCTGACTATTTGAGTCACATTTACTCGCAAGGTTCATTTGCTTACTTACAAATTTAACTAGAGGTACATACTCAAATAATTTGATCAGTTACAACTGCTAAACACGTTTTAACGGCATGCAAACTCGTCTAAGGTTTCTTGTCGCCTTTTCCTTAATGAACACACATGTGTCTCTTTCCTACGATACAAGATTTATTACTTTGTTAAAGTGGTGAAGAGAGTATGATATATTTTACATTTTCACGAGAGATTGGTTTGTTTTCACTATCGGTTCCCGTTAGGCACTGAGGTTGATCGAACACGAGTCTCCAAAAGAGTACGTTCGTTTTTACAGGTGCGTCTTAATGTGCTGCCATCGGTGCATATCCCTCACATTACGAATTATAACGACTATTAAGCTAAAACGATCAATAATTAATTAGTCAAAGAATCAAGCTGCTGTTGTACTTTGTAATCCACAAACAAAAATCATTTTGGATTAGCCATAGAAGGGATTGAATTGCAGTGATGTTTCTCGCAAACAGCTGTTATTCTATATGAAAAATAAGGAAACAAAAACAGCATTAAAAAGCATGTAAGAGATAGTTTCTAGTCGCTTTTCTCAATTCCCCTGCCTTAACCGTCAGACTTCCAGGGTCTGATTGATAATTCACCTTTTCGGCGTTAGATTTCACGTGTAGTGTCACGAGACTTCTGAAGGTTACCATACGTAACCAACGATCATCAAATCGTCGATAATCTTCAAATGATTTATAAGCGGCGAGTCCTTGACTGACTCGGTGGAGTTGTAAATCAAATGATTAAAAATATCTTACAATCCAAACGGCCGCGAAGCGTTAAAATTGTTCACAGTCGTCAAAAACAACTAGATTGGGAGTAAACATATCATGAATTATTGATTTGCCTGAAGTAGTGGCGTCGTCTTTTTCGAAATTTGGACACACTAATAGAACCATGTTTCCGACTTTGGAGGCGATTTCCACTCACAAAGTTTTGAAATATCTGCTCGCTGAAATACCTCGTTTCTGCTGATGTTTTTAGGTTCTACCCCATTCATAGCGTTGAAACCGTCTCAAATTTTGTGATCTGCTATTCTAAACTACAACTGCTCTTGAAGATTGAACTGGATTTGGCAGGATTCCCACTTTGCGTTACATAAAAAATTCCACGCAATACGATATATATGAAACGAGACTCTGTGTAGGAATCTAGGCTTGATCACGTTCTACAGCGATTCAAGGGCACTAATTTCCCATCAGACGTGGTTTCATTTGACAATCAACGCGCTTAACGCCTTGAAAATACCTGAGAAGATACATCACAGTACATAGAAAGTTTTTTTATTATTTCAAGGCGCAACAGAGGGAAACTATTCACGACAAAATGCCGAAGCCGAAGTTCGGACTCGAGCCGTGGGTGCTTGACTCAAAGTCTAAACTTTCGCGGTTTGTTTACATCAGAGGTCACGTGACACTACAACTGCAATCTAACGCCGAAAAGGTGAATTCTTCCCTTCAGTTCTGACTCTTTTACTTTTAAACAAGTAAAGAGAATTTGGTTCTCTATCAAAAACGACTAATGTTTTTTATTAAAAAGACATAGGGGTTAGCTAGGGATATTATGTGAAGTGCGTGAGCTCTATCGATGACATATTACAATCATGTGTAAAACTCAAAGGGCAACTGGCCTTAAACCGGGGCTCGCTTTGGTTTCTGAGTACTGCTAGCGCTCTTAACCCTTTAACTCCCAGAAGTGATTAACATGAAACTTTTTCCTAAAATACCCATACATATATCTTGCAAACAGGTGATGAGAATATTCAAACTTATCAAGTAAAAGTTGTTATCCTGATCTCACACCTCTTTCTTGTACCTGATTTGCAAGGAATGAGTAGCAGCTAGACGGGAGAATTAGCATGAAGATCTTGGGAGCTAAAGGGTTAAATATAATGTCAGTCCATTACAGCTTACCCTTACCCAACGCACACCTTCCGTCTCCCAGAAAACGTTTTTCAAAAAGAACTCGGCCATTGCTACACAATTGGACCAGTAGGTTACCTTAACAAGAATAAAGCTCAATCCTCATAGCGATCTTCCATTCCCATGAAATCGGAAGAAGCCGAACATAGCGAACATAAATGAGCGGGTTGAGATCGTGGTAAACGACTGTGCCTCTGTCCTTGTTTCCTGGGAAAACCTGAGTAGAATATATTTAGGCGTAAAATTAACAAGCGTAAGTTTTTTTTACAGTACGAGTTACTCTTAACCTATAACTTTCGTGAATACTTTTCTGTAGGTTCAATGATAGAGAGTATATGGCCCAGCCTGGTGTAACTGCTTTGTGGCTCAGTGGAAAAGGATCAGAATGCAGAATACAAAAAGGTTCTATTCCACATGGGGACTTTTTCTCCGCAAAAAGGTTGGTTCAATTAAGCATATTTTCTCATACCGTGTCTGATATGTCTCCGTTTCGCTTGTAAACTCTGAAAGATAGTCCATCATCGCCATATTGTAGCTTGTATTTAGTAACCCACTGCTTTGTCTCACGTTTCCCCTGCGTCGCAATGCCTATTACCCTTGTGGTTTGCTGAAGATCCACTTGCAGCCATTGGTTGGAGTTTTTAAATTTAGCTACCCAGCCACCACGTCTAACCGGGTTTTCGGATCCTTTGAAATGTAATCTAGCATTTGGTGCAGCATGTCTACCATTATACACGGAGGAAGCGGTGATCTGTGAGTCACAAATAGCACCGCTTTCCATGCCGAGGGGAACTGGGGCTTTTGGTGATTCCGCACCTGAAATTGAGACAGAGAAATGCAATCGCACAGACATTGATTTGTTTATCATGGAATAAAGGAGGATTTTGAGAACGGTTGGATAGAAATAAAGGAGGATTTTGAAAACGGTTGAATAGAAATTTAAAAGCAAGTGCAGTTTCACCTTTCCACTTTATCTCAAGCATTATAATAAAAAAATTTGACAACGATAAAAACTTTCGCGTGAGTTAAATCTCTCCGACTTACAAGTGATGGTCAAAGCTCTATTACAAATGAAAATTGTAATAGAAACCGGAAACGGTTAAAGTTTGCTGCGGCACCTTTGGAGTATCCAATGGTTTTTGGATCCCTGAAGTTTGCCTTGTCTAATTTCTGGATATGTTTAAATTGCTTTCTATATTGACGACTCAACGCTATCATGTTTTCGCGATGCATTTCGTAGGCACATCAGCATTTGAAGCTGTGAATAACCCTTCAGTGCCCAAGATCTCATTATTAATTCTCCTTACTGTCTGCTATACAATTCTTATGATGCTAGTTATGAGAATTTGGTACTGGATCAACTAAAAAATCCTCAAACTTATCTTTCATTATTCTCATCACCTGTCTGATTGATGTTGTTTGGTTATTGTAAGGAGAAATTCTGTCTTGGTCACTCGTGGGAATTTAAGGCTTGATTTCCACTTTGATTTAGAAGTAACCTAGGCAACATTCTCCTTGACAATTTTTTTGAGAGCATTCGAGGACTTTCAAGAAAGCTGTAAGAATCAGAATGTTTCAAGCAGGTTCGGGAATGTTTGCGAAGGTGTGCGAAGGTTCGCGAGGACGGCAGACTCCGCACCTATTGGCGGAGAGACAAGAAGCAGCAGGGACAAGTAACTCATTGTGATTTAAAAATGAAGTCGTTAACATTAATCTCAAGAATACCTTTCAAATCAACGCTACTTACATTTGCAGTTGACGACTTTTAAATCTTCCTTAAAGGCCAGACAGTTGTGCTGAAAACATAAGAAATCATTCATTTTTCATTTAATCGGGTAATCAATACGTCCTCCAGGTTCATCACCCTATGGAAACTGCGCTAGTGAGCTAAATGAAGGCCTTTAGATACATCTTGAAAGTTTTAGCTTCAAGCTAAATTTCATACTGAATTTTGTGCACTAAATCCGTATGACCTACTTTTGGTCCACCTGAATTTATTTAAGAACTCTCAACTTAAATATATTTAATTTTATTGAGCTTCGAAGCAGTTTGCAGATATTGACTCCAATGCTACTGAGATTTAAATTACCAGTTATCTGGAAGAATTGCTTATTTTTCTTTGAATGACCGTAGAACATATTGATTATCAGCACTCAATGAAATGAAGTCTATTCGCCTTTAAGAGAAGAAGATGAAAAACCACCATTTTAGCCGCATTCACGTCAAACTACTTTAGGACCAAACGATAAACACATTCAAAGAAAAATATGACAGATGGAAAGTTTTCACATCTGTCGTCGAAATATGAAGATTTTATTGGAAAGATAACACGAACGAAAGACAAGTGTCTCGAGAAATCAATAACAACTTCTTCTTTGTCTTCTTTCAAGACCTTTTTTACCTTCGTGTCGTAAAATTGGGTGTAAATTGCTTCTTCGTTGTATTCCAGTTGGTTTCCTTTCTCAGTGAGGAGAACTCCTCCGTCGTTCAACTCACAGGTTCCCTGACTTTTGAAAACGTTTTTGAAATTTGTTGAAACGCATCGAGGGTCTCTCTGACATAGCAAACCACAGGATACAAGGCTTGCAGAGTGAATTGTTTTGAACGTGAAGCCTTTAAGTTGGCGATGATTGTAAGTTATCACTGGATAAGAAAGAGATGATTGCTTGAGAAATGCTTGAGATGCTACGACTTCGGACATTAAGAACATGATAAGTCCAGCACACAGAGTAAAATTCATTTTGATTTTCTGGTGATGACCTCGTCTAAGGTATGCGTACTCCTTAGCTTTGTAATTGTGTCGCAGGCGTTTTCATCAGAAGTCAACAAGGGAATGATATTAAATAATTTACATAAAATTTGGAGATTTTAATCATTTATCTTACCAATCATAGCCGCCGAATCGACAGGCTAATTGAAAGGATGCACGAAAGCTGGATAACAATACGATATCAATTTTAATTAGATGTTAAAGAAGATGACATGTCCGCTTGAAGTTTTAATCTCGTCAGCCATTTCTTTTTGAATGAACAAAGATCTTATTTGATTCAGAGATTTAAAATAAAAAATGACCCCGTCGTTCATTAAATTTTTTTAGTTTGTCAGTTCTTATCATATAGCCTTTCCTGTTAGCTATGGACTCGTCGATGTAGTTGTTGAGATATTATTATTGTTATCCACTGTAGAAGTTTCTGAATGATTTATTAAGTACTTAACCTCTTTAAAAAGACACTCTTTAAAAAAAACACTTCTCACAGACAAAATGTACTCAGTTACAACTGAGCTGAAAAATAATATGATACTCACTAAATGTTTAAGAAACTTCTAGGCACCAGTTATTATGTCAACAACTGCATCAAGGCAAAATAACATTTAAGTGATAACAACTGATAATCGGCGATGGCTGCGAGCTATAGAGTGATGAAACAAAATAGTTTTCATCGTAGGAAACGAAATGAAATGCTCAGAGTTTAGACATCACAAATTTGAAAGCAAATAGAACACTTCTCGCAGACAAAATATGTCCAGTTACAACTGAGTTGATAATTAATGCAGTTCTATTTGCTTTCATTAACAATTGGCACTCAAGAAGCTGGAGTTGCTCTCGGCTACGCCTCGAGCAACTCTTACGCATCTTTCGTGCTCTTCAAACTTCCCAAGTGCTCCATATCTTGATGAACGCACAGCTGACGTATGAACCAATTGTTTTATAACATTTTCAACCCGATGGAAAATCTTTTTCTCGAGGGATTTGTCTTTTTCTTCGGATTGTTTTTAAGTTCAAGGACTGTAAATTACAATTTTACGCAAAACGAAGGTTGTTCTCTTATTTCATTGTGAATCCTCGCACGCCTGTCAGTCGCTGGCGCCGCTTGTTGAAACTAAAACGAATAAACATAGACTTTTTTAGATTACTTCTTTCACCCCACCACTATTCTTAGCAACAAAGGTCGCCATTTCGTTTGTTTACAGTTACACGACGTAGCATTTCAGATGCAAATAACAACAGCTGACCAACCGCTGACCAACCGCGGACCAACTCGTTTTCTTTGTTTTGCCGTGAGTTAATTTTGTTTTGCCGTGAGTTAATTTTGTTTTGCCGTGAGATAATTTTGTTTTGCCGTGAGATAAGTTTGTAGTGCCGTGACTTTTTGTTTTGCCGTGACAGTTGTGGGCCACAACCTCGTAAATATAACACTGAAGCCAAAAAAGCCAAGAATCTAGCACTCTTACGTAACTATCAGAAGCTACAGAAATTACAAAGTCGACAACTTTCTACATGACCTCTCCCTCACGCCTTTTCATATAATTAGTCTATTTGACGACTTAAACGATCAGGTTGACGCATTCAATGACTTGTTCTTGGAAGTCCTAAATCATCACGCACTGGTCACAATGGTTAAAATTAGATCCAAACCTAATCCATTTATCACGCACGAAATTCGACAACTGATGAGAACACGCGACCAATGGCGCAAACTTGCTTCGAAAACAAAGGATCCCCTTCACTGGAATGGTTACAAATTTTTTCGTTAAGAAGTTAATAGGGAGATCCGAATAGCTGAAAAAGCTTACGTCAGGGCTCAAATTCTGGAGAGTAAAGGAAATCTAACTCTATCTGGAAAATCATTCATCGTTGTCTGCTTCGTAAGAATCAAGATGGCTCCATGGGTTTTGAAGATCTCACTGGCTTAGCTAATAGACTAAACGAATTTTTCACTTCTGTTGGTAGCCTGACTACCATAAAAGCAAGTGAGTTGACTTCACAAAACGAGTTCAATTCAATTTCGAAGTGCTACCCCCTGCTCTTGTTTCTTCCACAGCAGTCAAAAATTATCCAAAGTTAGGAGGCCACGCAAAGTCATGTACAAAAAGTGATCAGAATATTACCGTCTAACAAGGCTGCAGGAATGGACAAAATATCTTCTAGAATATAAAAAGACCTGCAGCCTTCCTTTCACACTTGCGACAATAACTCACATTGTAAACACCTCTTTCACCACCAACACGTTCGCACGTGCATGGAAAATGGCAGAAATCACACCTATTCTTAAATGCCGAAACCCTGAAGTTCCTTCCGTCCTTTGTTTTCAAGGTGTCCGACCAGGTATGACTAGACTAATTCTGTGTACTAAATCCGTATGACCTACTTTCGGTCCACCTGAATTTATTTAAGAACTTTCAACTTAAACTATATTTAACCTTATTGAGCTTCGGAGCAGTTTGCATATATTGACTCCAATGATATCGAGATTTAAATTCCTACTTAGGAAAAATTTCTCATTTTACTTTAAACGACAGTACAACATTTTGATTATCAGCATTCAGTGAAATGTGGTCCATTCGCCTTTAAAGAAAAAAGATAAAAAACCACCATTTTACCCGCATACACGTCAAACTATTTTAAAACCAAACGATAAAAACATTCAAAGAAAAATATGACAGATGGAAAGTTTTCACATCTTTCGTCGAAATATGAAGATTTTATGAGAAAGATACCACGAATGAAAGACAAGTTTCTCGAGGAATCAATAACACCTTCTTCTTGGTCTTTTTTCGAGAATTTTTTTTGTTACCTTCGTGTCGTAAAATTGGGTGTAAATTGCTTCTTCGTCGTATTTCAATTCGTTTCCTTTCTCAGTAAGGAGAACTCCTTTGTCGTTTTGAAAACGTTTCTGAAATTTGTTGAAACGCATCGAGGGTCTCTCTGACATAGCAAACCACAGGATATCAGGCTTGCAAGGTGAAATATTTTGAACGTGAAGCCTTTAAGTCGGCGATGATTGCGAGTCATCACAGGATAAGAAAGAGACGCTTCCTTACAAAGAACTGCCTGAGATACTTCGATTTCAGATATTAATGACCCAACTAGAACACCACACAGAAAAAAATTCATTTCGTTTTTTTCCCAGTCGAGACTTTGCCTTCGGTGTGTACACGCAGCTTTGTAAAAGCTTCGAAAATATTTCAATTAATTTAAAAGGAGTTCAGAGACGTTTATTTAATATTTTTCTTTCCAATCGTAGTCAAGTGGAGAGGTTGCTCTGAGAGCTGAATAAAAGAATGATTAATTTTGTAATCGTTCATTATATGTTAAAGAGACGTATTTGTCCGTGCGAAGAGTTAATAACGTCAGCCATTTCTGTCTGAATAAACACTGAAATATATCATCTTATTCAAGGAATAAAAAAAAACAACAAAACAAAACAAAAAAAATTGTGAATTTCGCCTTCCCTTAAAATACAAATCTAGTTTATCAGTTGTTGTCATTTAAATTTTCTGGTCAACTCAAGAAGCCTCATTGTCTTTGTGAAGTTAATAATTGATACTTAGTTAAAATATCAGATCCACTTTATCAATTGCTATCATTCAAATGTTGTTGTGAACTATAGAAACATCAATGCCGTTGTTGAAATGGTAATTGGTATCCGGCAGCTTCTTTATAATTTAATCGTCACTTATTGTCTTAAAAAAAAACTCTCTTCGTAACCAACACATATTCTCATAAATAAGAGTAATAAACTGAAACGCATCGAGGGTCTCTCTGGCAAACCACAGGATATCAGGCTTGCCAGGTGAAATATTTTGAGCGTGAAGCCTTAAGTCACAAAAAAAAATTCAATTGTTTTTTTTTTTCTTAAACTTTGCCTTCGGTGCGTACACGCAGCTTTGTAAAAGCTTCGAAAATATTTCAATTAATATTAAAAGAGTTCAGAGACGTTTATAAAAAATTTTTTTCCAATTATAGTCAAGTGGAAAGAATGCTCTGAGAGCTGAATAAAAGAATGATTGATATTGCAATCGTTCATTATATGTTAAAGAGACGTATTTGTCCGTGCGAAGTGTTAATAACGTCAGCCATTTCTGTCTGAATAAACACTGAAATATATCATCTTATTCAAGGAATGAAAAAAAAACAACAAAACAAAACAAAAAAAATTGTGAATTTCGCCTTCCCTTAAAATACAAATCTAGTTTATCAGTTGTTGTCATTTAAATTTTCTGGTCAACTCAAGAAGCCTCATTGTCTTTGTGAAGTTCATAATTGATACTTAGTTAAAATATCAGATCCACTTTATCAATTGCTAACATTCAAATGTTGTTGTGAACTATAGAAGCATCAATGCCGTTGTTGAAATGGTAATTGGTATCCGGCAGCTTCTTTATAATTTAATCGTCACTTATTGTCTTTAAAAAAAACTCTCTTCGTAACCAACACATATTATCATAAATAAGAGTAATAGACTGAAACGCATCGAGGGTCTCTCTGGCAAACAACAGGATATCAGGCTTGCCAGATGAAATATTTTGAGCGTGAAGCCTTTAGTCACAGAAAAAATTCATTTGTTTTTTTTTCTTAGCGCATTAGATAAACAGCGCCTTAGATCATATCCACATGTATTTTGCACTATATAAGTAATAAATTATTATTATTATTATTATTATTATTATTATTATTATTTCGGTCGAGACTTTGCCTTCGGTGCGTACACGCAGTTTTGTAAAAGATTCGAAAATATCTCAATTAATATAAAAAGAGTTCAGAGACGTTTATAAAATTTTTTTCTAATTATAGTCAAGTGGAAAGGATGCTCTTAGGGTTAGGGTTAGGGTTAGAAAGATGTTTTTTCTTCTTGTCACGAGCGTGCGACAAAGAAAAAATTCCGAGTACCAATGAGGAATCGAACCGGAGACCTTTGGATCCTGCGCTCCGATGCTCTAACCACTGAGCAACAGAGACTCCACGGTGAACGAAGTCTATTACGACATTCATATGACAAGCGTCCTGCATACTGCTGAGGTCAGCAATGTCTAAAAGCGTAATGTTTGTTGATATAAATAAGAGAGATGATAAATTTTCGAGCATCGGAGCGCCTAATCCGAAGGTCTGAGGTTTGACTCCTTATGGGAACTCAGAATTTTTTCTTTTTTTTCTTTGTCCCACGCTCGTGATATGACGAAAAAACATCTTTCTCTATATCTTTATCGAGCTCAAAAACTTACCATCTCTCTTTATTTCTAGAATAATTAATATTGTAATCGTTCATTATATGTTAGACATATTTGTCCGTACGAAGTGTTAATTTTGTCAGTTATTTCTGTCTGAATAAACAATGAAATATATCAACTTATTCAAGGAAAGAAAAATAAAAACAAAAAAATGGTGAATTATGACTTCCGTTAAAATTCAAATCTTGTTCATCAGTTGTTGTGATTTAAATTTTCTTGTCAACTCTAGAAGCTTCATTGCCGCCGTGAAGTTAATAATTTATATTTAGTTAAAATTTCAGATTCAGATTATCGATTGTTATTATTAAAATGTTATTGTGAACTATAGAAGCTTCAATGCCGTTTTTGAAATAGTAATGGATATCCAGAAGTTTCTTTATAATTTATTCAGCGCTTATTTTCTTAAAAGAAAAACTCTCTTCGTAACCAACACTTATTCTCATAAATAAAACACACTTTGTAGTAAACTACACATAGCCAGTTACACTTGAGTTGGGGATAAATGCGATTCGACTTCCAGTCATATTCTGCATAGATAGGCAGCTGATCTTTCTAAACTCTTGGCATCTTATTGGGTTGCCGCAAATGAAAACTCTTTTCTCTCATATCGCTATACATATACTTGCATAATAGCCGACTATCAGGATTCACCTTTAAATCTTTTATTCTGTAAGCTTAGCATCCTACGGATTGCAATGTCAAAGAAGTTAGGTTAGGTTTCAGTGAAGTCGCCTTCGTTTGGGTGATACCTTCGGATTCAAGGTAAGTACACAAACGCTAAAAATTCAAAGAGTCACAAGCATTGAGTTGGAAAAATTTAAAGTCTACCCAGGCCGGAAAGTGAACTAATTTTAGATAGCTTATATAAACAATGTTGTTATTTTCGTCCACAGTATATAAGCTGTCAAGGAGTTGAAACATAGCACGGCAGCTCGTGCTGAGAACTAACACACTGAAAAGATTAGACCTATCAGCAAAGTACAAACAACATCTGCATATCAGAGAGCATTGTGGTATTACTTCAAAAGTGCGTGCCATTTCATTTCATGAGGATGGATAAAAACAAAATAAACATCTTATGTGCTTAAGTCTAAAAAAGCCGTCCACCCCCCTTGTTCACAATGGCTGCCGGTGTATCCATCGGAACAGGTGCACTTGTACTCATTAGCAATATTCCTGCGCAATCCACCCTTTAGATGTCTGCGCAAAATAGAAGACTGAAATTACAGATACAGATACAGACCTTTATTGAAGCTCCCTGAATGATTTTTTCAGCAACAATATAAAGGTTAAAAGAAATAAAACTAAAATTGAAGAATATAGAACTATAGTTACAGCTAAATATATTTATATATCAAAGGAATAAAAATATTGAATGATGAAATTAACCTAATAGCAGCTTGCTACGTAAAATTGTCGCTTAACTGTTCAGAAGTTTCGTTAGTATGCTTATTTAAGCCTTGAAGTTTCTTGAATATTTAATCAGTTTCGCATCACTGCGCATCGATAGTTTTTCAAGTCCGTGTAAAATGCTGTAAATAGTAAAACGTTGGAATGCTACTATAATTAGGTTGGCCGGAAAGTTCCAGAATCTCATGCTGTTAAGTATTATTTGTTTTTCACAAGCTAAGTAGTGTGACGGAGGTAGAGGTTACTCAAAAGTGTGACTGAGGTTGAGTTTAACGGCGGTTGTGATTATTTGAAGTTTGGCAGAAAACGTATATCAGTATTTACTGTGACGATTTGGAATAAATCATCTTTGTTGTTGTTCCGACATCCCTGCGTTCTGTTTAGCTACAGACAATCATTTCCACTTAACGATCACTCGTAACACAGCTAAGTACATTGAAACGTAAATTCCTTGGGACATTATAAACACTTAAGATTGCTGCATAATGAGTTACACAGTTTCGCTCCTTTATAAGCAAAAGATCTCTGACCAGTTGACAGGCAGCAAAAGGGTTTATCCAGGGTACTTGCTGATCGAGTTTGCCAGTCTTGAACACAAGAACATAGCTTAAACTTATTTGCAAGGTAGTCTGGAACAAGATTATTAATGAACTTGAAAACCATGATTGCATCATTCAATTTAAGAGCTAATGTCAACATGTACCACACAAACAGCGACAAGTCGCCCAAATTCATTTTCTCTCCTACTTTCATATTTTGTAGCCCAATATGTCTAAGTTGTTGTGATGTAGTTTTTTGTGAAAATATATTTTAGTTTTTTGAGAAATGATTTTTTTGACTGCTCAAATATGCAAATTTCACCCTGGATATTACCCGAATTGTGTGACCTCATGTAACGAATTTACTCGACCTCCGGTATTTCTGTCGGAATAATCCTTTGTTTTATCATCTAAGCTTAATCCCCATCATTATTGAAGCTGGCAAAGAAATATTTATTTTTTGGTGAATATTTTTGTCCGACATACTTTTTCTATGTCGAAAAGTAGCATCAAAACAAAGACAGTTTTAACAATGACCGATATGGAATCTACTGAGCTTCTAGCTTTTAAAAGACAAAAGGATTGTTATAAAGTTACTATAAAAATTTCCTTGTGTATTAGTGTTGTGCTATCGTGAGACGAACTCAAAGTCCGGAAAAATTTACTTGCTAGCGACTATAAAATATACATGGTGTCCCTACTTGTCGCCACCGTTTACTGGCATAAATCACTACAGTTTGTAAAGAAATCTAACATGACACTCTTACCTTGTTTATTTATGATTTCATAAGACCATTAAGCTGTTTCGGCTATTATATTACGCTTGGGTATTACTTTTTGCCGGGAGCCCAGGTTTTACGTTGTGTTTTCCCCTATCCCATTTATATCAGAAGCTAGTCACGCAATAATTGATACCAACACATATGAATATTTACCCTGTATGAAGATTTTTGTATATGTTGAATTGACAATATTACAATATGTTACTTTTGTGGTCACTAATCGTTGTTTCAGTAGCAGCGTAGCAGTTCAAAGCGGGTTGTTGCTTCAACGCTATTGAAATTTATAGTGTTCTGGCAGGAGAGCAAAGCGTGATGCTCTGGGAATAAAAACTCTTAGGGGCCTTTTACATGATATCGGAATGAGTTTTGTTCAAGAACGAGTTCATTCCGGTCGCCACATTATACCAGGGTAAGATTATTCGAAAAGAGTCATTTCTGAATGAGTTTATTGAGGTTTTCATTCTAGAACGAAACACTTATTTTGGACGACCTTTTGTACCTGTACAAAGCAAACGCGGTACGACACTCATATCTGTATGAATCCTCTTTACGAGCGAGGGAAGCATAGAAAAAGGACGTAAATACTTGTTTTTAGAAGCTAAATTATCTTGCATGTAAACGCGATATGAAATTCATTTCGTTTCGGAACGAAACCCATTTTGGAATAATGTAAAAGGTACCTTGGGGACGGACCATTAGATTTTTGATGCGGGGGGGGGTCTTTTGCCAATTGCACGATGTGTTTTCTTCCATTAAGTCTGTGCTCGATTTTTTCGAAGGTTATTGCCCAACACTCCAACACCCCCACCGCAAAAATCTAATAGTCCGTCCCTAGGATGCTATGAGGTCTTACAACTTCACTACACCTCTAGTCATACCTGGTCGGACACCTTGAAAACAAAGGACGGAAGGAACTTCAGGGTTTCGGCATTTAAGAATAGGTGTGATTTCTGCCATTTTCCATGCACGTGCGAACGTGTTGGTGGTGAAAGAGGTGTTTACAATGTGAGTTATTGTCGCAAGTGTGAAAGGAAGGCTGCAGGTCTTTTTATATTCTAGAAGATATTTTGTCCATTCCTGCAGCCTTGTTAGACGGTAATATTCTGATCACTTTTTGTACATGACTTTGCGTGGCCTCCCTAACTTTGGATAATTTTTGACTGCTGTGGAAGAAACAAGAGCAGGGGGTAGCACTTCGAAATTCGAATTGAACTCGTTTTGTGAAGTCAACTCACTTGCTTTTATGGTAGTCAGGCTACCAACAGAAGTGAAAAATTCGTTTAGTCTATTAGCTAAGCCAGTGAGATCTTCAAAACCCATGGAGCCATCTTGATTCTTACGAAGCAGACAACGATGAATGATTTTCCAGATAGAGTTAGATTTCCTTTACTCTCCAGAATTTGAGCCCTGACGTAAGCTTTTTCAGCTATTCGGATCTCCCTATTAACTTCTTAACGAAAAAATTTGTAACCATTCCAGTGAAGGGGATCCTTTGTTTTCGAAGCAAGTTTGCGCCATTGGTCGCGTGTTCTCATCAGTTGTCGAATTTCGTGCGTGATAAATGGATTAGGTTTGGATCTAATTTTAACCATTGTGACCAGTGCGTGATGATTTAGGACTTCCAAGAACAAGTCATTGAATGCGTCAACCTGATCGTTTAAGTCGTCAAATAGACTAATTATATGAAAAGGCGTGAGGGAGAGGTCATGTAGAAAGTTGTCGACTTTGTAATTTCTGTAGCTTCTGATAGTTACGTAAGAGTGCTAGATTCTTGGCTTTTTTGGCTTCAGTGTTATATTTACGAGGTTGTGGCCCACAACTGTCACGGCAAAACAAAAAGTCACGGCACTACAAACTTATCTCACGGCAAAACAAAATTAACTCACGGCAAAACAAAATTAACTCACGGCAAAACAAAGAAAACGAGTTGGTCCGCGGTTGGTCAGCGGTTGGTCAGCTGTTGTTATTTGCATCTGAAATGCTACGTCGTGTAACAGTAAACAAACGAAATGGCGACCTTTGTTGCTAAGAATAGTGGTGGGGTGAAAGAAGTAATCTAAAAAAGTCTATGTTTATTCGTTTTAGTTTCAACAAGCGGCGCCAGCGACTGACAGGCGTGCGAGGATTCACAATGAAATAAGAGAACAACCTTCGTTTTTCGTAAAATTGTAATTTACAGTCCTTGAACTTAAAAACAATCCGAAGAAAAAGACAAATCCCTCGAGAAAAAGATTTTCCATCGGGTTGAAAATGTTATAAAACAATTGGTTCATACGTCAGCTGTGCGTTCATCAAGATATGGAGCACTTGGGAAGTTTGAAGAGCACGAAAGATGCGTAAGAGTTGCTCGAGGCGTAGCCGAGAGCAACTCCAGCTTCTTGAGTGCCAATTGTTAATGAAAGCAAATAGAACTGCATTAATTATCAACTCAGTTGTAACTGGACATATTTTGTCTGCGAGAAGTGTTCTATTTGCTTTCAAATTTGTGATGTCTAAACTCTGAGCATTTCATTTCGTTTCCTACGATGAAAACTATTTTGTTTCATCACTCTATAGCTCGCAGCCATCGCCGATTATCAGTTGTTATCACTTAAATGTTATTTTGCCTTGATGCAGTTGTTGACATAATAACTGGTGCCTAGAAGTTTCTTAAACATTTAGTGAGTATCATATTATTTTTCAGCTCAGTTGTAACTGAGTACATTTTGTCTGTGAGAAGTGTTTTTTTTTTAGAGTGTCTTTTTAAAGAGGTTAAGTACTTAATAAATCATTCAGAAACTTCTACAGTGGATAACAATAATAATATCTCAACAACTACATCGACGAGTCCATAGCTAACAGGAAAGGCTATATGATAAGAACTGACAAACTAAAAAAATTTAATGAACGACGGGGTCATTTTTTATTTTAAATCTCTGAATCAAATAAGATCTTTGTTCATTCAAAAAGAAATGGCTGACGAGATTAAAACTTCAAGCGGACATGTCATCTTCTTTAACATCTAATTAAAATTGATATCGTATTGTTATCCAGCTTTCGTGCATCCTTTCAATTAGCCTGTCGATTCGGCGGCTATGATTGGTAAGATAAATGATTAAAATCTCCAAATTTTATGTAAATTATTTAATATCATTCCCTTGTTGACTTCTGATGAAAACGCCTGCGACACAATTACAAAGCTAAGGAGTACGCATACCTTAGACGAGGTCATCACCAGAAAATCAAAATGAATTTTACTCTGTGTGCTGGACTTATCTTGTTCTTAATGTCCGAAGTCGTAGCATCTCAAGCATTTCTCAAGCAATCATCTCTTTCTTATCCAGTGATAACTTACAATCATCGCCAACTTAAAGGCTTCACGTTCAAAACAATTCACTCTGCAAGCCTTGTATCCTGTGGTTTGCTATGTCAGAGAGACCCTCGATGCGTTTCAACAAATTTCAGAAACGTTTTCAAAACGACAAAGGAGTTCTCCTTACTGAGAAAGGAAACGAATTGAAATACGACGAAGAAGCAATTTACACCCAATTTTACGACACGAAGGTAACAAAAAAAATTCTCGAAAAAAGACCAAGAAGAAGGTGTTATTGATTCCTCGAGAAACTTGTCTTTCATTCGTGGTATCTTTCTCATAAAATCTTCATATTTCGACGACAGATGTGAAAACTTTCCATCTGTCATATTTTTCTTTGAATGTTTTTATCGTTTGGTTTTAAAATAGTTTGACGTGTATGCGGGTAAAATGGTGGTTTTTTATCTTTTTTCTTTAAAGGCGAATGGACCACATTTCACTGAATGCTGATAATCAAAATGTTGTACTGTCGTTTAAAGTAAAATGAGAAATTTTTCCTAAGTAGGAATTTAAATCTCGATATCATTGGAGTCAATATATGCAAACTGCTCCGAAGCTCAATAAGGTTAAATATAGTTTAAGTTGAAAGTTCTTAAATAAATTCAGGTGGACCGAAAGTAGGTCATACGGATTTAGTACACAGAATTCAGTATAAAATTTTAGCTTGAAGCTAAAACTTTCAAGATATATCTAAAGGCCTTCAATTAGCTCACTTGTGCAGTCTCCATACGGTGATAAACCCAGATGACTAATTGATTTCCCGATGAAATAAGAAATAAATGATTTTTGTTTTCAGCACCACGGTCAGGCCTTCAAGGAAGATTTAAAAGTCGTCAACTGCAAATGTAAGTAGCATTGGTTTGAAAGGTATTCTTGAGATTAAAGTCAACGACTTCGTGTTTAAATAACAATGAGTTACTTGTCCCGGCTGCTTCTTGTCTCTCCGCCAATAGGTGCGGAGTCTGTCGTCTCGCGAACCTTCGCGGACCC